AATTCACCACAAATCACATCCAGCGTGCACAGTTTGATGAGAGGGAAAACGTCAGCCGTGCAGCCCTTATCGGAAAGGAGCCGAAACTGCTCGAGAAGGATCGCTGCCTCCTGAATGCATGAATCTATTCACTCAAACTTTCAAATGTACTTCAAATTAAGACAAGATCATTAAGAACGTGAAGAAATAATGGAAATGCTAACTATAAATCTGAATTTACGTACTTATGAGCTAAAATGTCGTGAAAAATCATTCTAAAACATCAAAACAATGAAATAAATGCCAGTGACTATCCGGCTTACTTCCCGTCAGACAAACCTATTCTATGGGTGCTTGAGGCTAGTGATTACCACTAAATAGCTCCAGCGCGACTCACGTTTGATACATTTTTTGAAGGAAGGGGCAGGGCCCTCCATTGGTTGGGGATTCTGGCCAAGTCGTACGACCCCCCCCCCCACCCTTCCCATCTTACCCATCCTAGTGAATCTAATCTAAACAGGAAAATCTACAAAATGTCACAATCTCTCTTGGAATACCAGAAGGCAATTACGACTCCCTCTCCCAACAAGGAGCGAATACGACCCCCCCCCAACTACATTGCGTCCGTGGAACAGGAAAAATCAACTATCAAAAAAGATTGCTCCTAGACCGGATACGGCCGCCCTCCCCCTCCACGACCAAATACGATCCCCTGTTGGAGAACCCTCAACAACGATGTGCCCTGGGAGGGGGTGGAGCAAATGTTTACTGCGGATGTTACGCGGCCGGCGACTATGCCTACGTAACTTCCGTTTGTCGGAGCCCTATCACCAAACAGAACCTGTCATATACAGCCTTTTACGCTGCGGATGCTGGAGCGTGCCAGGGGGATGGGCTTAGCACTGCGCCAGCCAATTTCCACCAATTATTCCTATTACGGGGCTATGCCAGTTGGTGAAGAAGGGGTTGGCGCCGCGTCAGGTAGGTATGCGTGTCAGAGTTGCCCTGTCGCCCGAAACTACTGAACTTGGGAGATGGACAAGAGAATCGTAATCTGCCGCTTCATCGTACGCGGCGATGGGCGCGACGTTTTCTTTATTCACATTGCCATTCTGGCATCGGATTTCGTGTAGAGTAGGACATCGCAAAAATAGAGGTTTGTTTTTGGTCTTATATTGTCCATTCATGACTAGTACGACCTAGAGTCTTGGCGGGCGTGACGTCGGAAGCAACGCCCACTGGGTGCGCTATCCATTACGCCACCAGGGCCGCTTTTACCCTCTCAGCTTAACGGCTTTTATGCCGTAGCCTTACAGCACTCACACGTTTAACTTGGTGAGCCGGTCAGCCGTAATCGTTAGATATCGGCATGGAACCGCAAGGCCGAAGGCTTTACAAGTTTTTGAAGCTGTTTTGTTATGATAACTGCTGTTTAACGCCGCAGTACGCGTTCCGAATGTTATCACAAGAATGCTGAGTTATGGGCAAAGTCGTGCCCCAGGCGGGAGTCGAACCCGCACCTCACGCTTTCCGGTGCGAGTGCGCTATCGAGAGAGTAATCAAAATCAGTGTTATTGACCCGAAAAGGTCTGGTAGCGACTGAGCAACAGTCGGTTCTGACGTGGTTCAGTTCATGCGTGATGAGTGCGCCTTTGGCCGCTATCCTACTTTCGCGGTCCTAGAGAACTGCAGTAATTAGGGGTATCATCCAGAGATTCGAGAAATGCTGCTGGGTTGACGTATAAGGGAAAAGAGACACTTTCACGACTCTCGAGGCGATATAAGTTACGCATTATGAGATATGGATTGGACATTTTCACCACCATATTCAACAACACATTGTACACTATCCTTCTGGACGAGCGCCATCGAGAGATTCTGCCACGCGACCTGTGATTCGGTGCCTGAGTTCAGCTAGGTCGTTGATTTCTCCGCCACTGTACCACCCTGTTGAGCTCCGCCAGAACCGGTATCGAGGGAGATCAGGGCAAGTAGCACAGCTGGATATTCCCTCTTCTTCAGGTCTCAGTACCCTTCGGTTCCAACTAAGCGAGAGTTTTTTCAACGCCCTTCTGTTGGCGAAAGAAGTTTCCAAAATGGTACAGGCGACGACATGAGGCAGGATATTCTCCTCGAGTTGGTCGATGTAACCGTCAGCGTTCACTTTCTTCAGGGGTCCACGAACGCTGTTTCGATGTTAAAGGTTTTCCAGATCTAGAGTACCGGTCTCCAGGTAGCTGTCCATGGGTGACTCCATACAAGAAGTTTCGCAGCTGTTTGGAGGTGACGTGAATTCCATAGGCCTTCTCCAGTCAGGCTGCGATTGGAGATGACTTCATATTTTGGTGTACATGAAGGTGATGGGCGAGAGCCTGCTCCTGCTTATCGAGGAACATCTTGGGTATCTTCCGCCCTGGTACTCGTATCCACGTCTTCTGTCTGGGCTGCGAAAACTTTAAATTTTTAATTTTAATTATAAAATTTTAAATTTTAAAAAATTTTTTTGTGGGGCGAACTGTTTTCTTTTTTGCCCCCTCCAGTGTTTTTGCAAATTTTTCCGTCATTACCTTGTTGAAAATGGGCACAAAATCCTTGAGAATCGAGAAGTGGAAAGCGGGCGTCAACATCTTCCTTTTCGCTCGCCAACGTTCGCCATTACTGCAATGTCGTGTTTTACGAATTGAGATGATGTTGGACAATGGGAGAAAATCCTCCAACAAAACAGGATGCTTTTCAGGAGATCCGAATTCCGGCAGCACGCAGAAACTAGTTTTTTTCGCGGGATTTGACTGTACTCAGTGTAACGGAAAAACTGCGTTGACTAATCATTCAGGTGTTTGTGAAAATGCAGCGCGAACAGCGCCACTTATAGCTCTGCTTTCACTGTGCCGCCGCACCTCGGATCTCTTGACCTGCACCCAAGCCTTACCTTGTGAGAAGCCCTTTACCGAGCCATTCCTGTAGTCTAGTATAGCCTTCCATTGGCTTTGAGATCTCCTTGTTACTTTCAAGGATTACCTGAAAAATGCTGAGTACAAAATTCTTCGTTTACGAGTCCCGTCTCGGGTTAAGACACTTGTCCATAACTCAGTATCCTCGTGATAGTTTCAAGAGAGTAAAGTGCGGCAATAAACAGCATCAATAAGACAGCTTTGAGTGGAGTCTCTTACACTACCGCGTACCAGAATGTAGATCCTGAGACATAGTTCGAGATAGGTAAAGGACGTTAAAGAATTCAGAGCGATCCTCTGGGTGCTGACTGGCCCACTTTGAAGAAAGTAACATTACTCATCACTGAAAATGCCCCTGGCACATCATTGGTCGAGTCCGAATGACCCTCCCCCCCCTTTTTTTTAAGGGGGGTTGTTGAGATCCCCCTTCCGGTTCCCTACTCATCGAGCTGTGCGCAGGAGAAGGGCGGGAGGTGCTGTACACATGGAACAGTTCGACGAAAGTTTCAGGCAACCTCTCTCAGTAATGTCAAGAGCATGAAATACGACCTCTCATCCTTCACGCCCTGCAAAACGCAAAAACATCAAACTTTTTGAAAAAACTCTCTCCCACCCAAACTCGATCAGACGCCCCTCTCTCCAGGCGACTCAAATACGACACTGCCCCATGCTGGCTGAACATCAACCAACAGATGGTGCCGGCCTGGAGGGTCCTTCAGCGTTGGCTCTTAATGATACATCACCAAGAATCCGGGGGGCGGGGGGAACTTGGTGCTCGAAGGAAAAGGGACAAGACGACGACGAAGATGTAGGAGAAGACAGAGATGAGAGGGGAGAGAGACATCACCCATCCGCTCCTAGCTGGAGGTTGCGAGCGCCAAGCATTTGGTAGAATGAGCTTTCGCCGCCTCATTACAGAGCCCTGAGGTGCGAAACGAGCACAGACTTTACATTTGCTACTAGTTCTAGTCCCTATGCATATTCTCATTGCGAAGTTTCAGGGTCCTCATCAGTTGGAGACGATTCAAAACAGTTAGGGAAAGGAGATCATGTGGAGATCATCAGAGATTCTATGAGAAGGGATGGAATGGGAAATTTAGGGAGGAATTAGAGGGGTCTCAGAAGTTCTTTTCTGGGTTAACGCTTACTGTACGAGGGCAGGAGACAGAAAAAGTCGAAAACTGCTGGTACGAGTAGAGGAGGAGCATCACACTGGCTGACTTCCTACATCGCCTCAATGAAAGCCGCTCATTCAGCTAACCGCCGGGTGCGCCTCAAACCTCACCTGGAATTTAAAGCTATTGGCCCTACACTCCCATCTCACTCCTGTCGCTCCGTTCAAGTTAACACTGCATCACTGTTCCTTCTAGTGCTTACCAGTTTATCCTTTGCAAAAAAATGCTGACAAAATTGGAAGCCACGCTGTCTCAGGCGTGGAGTTAACGGTCTTTCGGACGGGTCATGACAGTACTTTCAGAGCAGCGATGCGAAGCTTCAGCGAGGAGTGCAGTCGATCTTCCGCGGAGTTCGAGGACGCTCGAGCTCAAGCTCACTTCTCCATCTCCAGTGCGGTGCCCTGCTTCGCCAAGAACTCATGATCTCCTTTGCTCGATGTCTTTATGTTGTTGTCTATCGGTCCTATATAGTCATCGCTTGCCATGTAAAATATACTTCTCATATACTATGTGTACGGCATTTCATGTGTTTTTCTATTCTTAAAGATAAACTTTATTCATCAGGACAGTGTTATGGCAGGGATAGATGCAGCTTCTCGCTCACTCCTTATAGTGTCGGAGCTGACGAGGGCGGTAAGCAGCGGAATCAGGCCACATGATTAAA